GGGGGGGGGGGGGAGGTGGTGTCCAATCAATTTGCACGCGCCTTGATTAATTCATCAAATACCTGTTACCTCCCACTAGCATAGGTACCAGGTAATACTGCCCGAAGACTTTACAAATGCGAAGAAATGGACTGGAACTTAATTACTTAACCTTTTAAGATTAACATCCTCTTTCCATGACAAAAGGCAACTATGATAGAAAGAAGCAAGCTCAATTCACCAAAAAAAGAACAGTGTTTTTTTTTTTAACAAGGGTATGAAAACTAGGGCAAGTCCATTTTGGAAGGCTGTCCATCAAGAAAGACCAAAGAAAAAGCATGTAAATAGCAGAAAAACTCAAGTCCAAGTTCCCTAACCTTACAGTAGCTCCTTCAACCAACTAAATGAAGCAGAACAGTCATTCTGTGGATTTAAAAGATTTAATGAAGAAGAATTACAAACAACCAAACTTTCAATAGGGAAAAACACATGTAAATGAACGCATAAACAGTTCCTGACCCCGGCAATCACAGCCATAGTGAAAACATGACCAAGAATCACGCGCAAAATTTTGAAAGAACATTCAAGTTGCCATGTGACTAAAAGGTCACGAGTTCGAGCCGTGGAAACAGCCTCTTGCAGAAATGTAGGGTAAGACTGCTACAGTAGACCCTTGTGATCCGACCCTTCCCTGGACCCCGCGCATAGCGGGAGCTTAGTGCACCGGGTTGCCCCTTCTATTTTATTCAAGGCATTATGCATGCAATGTAGTGCTAAAAATGACTGGTTGATAAGTTACTGACCACAGTTAAAACCGAAAAAAAAAGAAGCCAATTTTTTACATAGCTGCATCAGAAATTATATCGCAGTCAGATTCATTAAAGGAAGACACTTAATGAGAACATAGCTGCATCAGAAATTATATCGCAGTCATGGACAAGGAAGACCCTTAATGGAGAACCCCTTTTAATCATCGATATAGCACCTTCAGAGTTACTGATGATGACTCCAAACGTTTGTCATGGACAAGAGTACCTGGAATGGCATTCCATAAGCTGACAACATCCTGTCAATGTGAAAAAATATGTGATGAAAATGAAAATCTATTTTCATTCATCAACGAGACTCTCCGAGTCAAAGCTAGACCCTCAAACAGAGATTAGAGGTTAGCTGTGCGGACATATGTAATCTGGATGGTGGATGAACCAGTATCACATAACGAGTATAGTTGGTTTCCATTCTTATTTCTGAGGGGCTACAGGCCATCCCTGATTATTTTCTCTGTATTTATTTCAATGTTAAAATAAGTCATGGTCCTTCTAAGAATTTTTTACCACAGACTTGAAAAAGGAAACTTCAGAAAATTCCGAATTGTCTCTCCATCTTATTTCTGGCTCTGCTGCCACTTGCCAGACGAAAATATAGATGGCATCTTTTATGTGCAATACAAAATATGCAAGCAATTGATTGTCAAAATATACATGGTGGTATGTCCAAAACATTACAATGCCCATAAAAAGCAAAAAGAAACTGGACGGAAGAGGCCTTATCTATAAAAAGAAGGAAAGAAAGCATACATGACACTACCTCAGACTACAAGTCTCATCACGGTAGCCGCAGTTGTTGAAATGAAAATACCAAGTCCAAGACTATGACTGCATCATCTTATTTTGTTCAACACATGTGGGTGCCTTGAACGCCTGACACTTCCACATTGATGCCCTCTCAAGCGGAAACATGGGATTACTACTTGTAGTAGTACCTTTGCTGATGTTTTCATCGAGTGACAATGGACTCTTAGATTTCAAATCCTCTTTAGGGTTTGCTTGATCCCTGAAGCTGCAAATGCTGAGGGGTAACTTTTTCTGCTTAAGCCTTCCCTTCTTTTTCCCAATGCTGCAAATATCATCCGGAGAATCCCCAAATTTCTCCTTTGAGATAACTGATTCTCTTTCCTTGTTTTCCGTATTTACATGGTCAGCTTTACTAGATTGTGATGCTTCCCCATTTTCCATCTTTGTGTGGTCAGCTTTATTGAATTTTGTTGTGTTTAAATCTACTCTAACTAGGCCTTTCTCTGAGATAGGCCCATCTGAATGTTTTTCTCTAGCAAAACCATTCCCATTGCTTGTGGTAGGACGGTTGCCTTCCCAGGATGTACTTCCATTCTGAACCTTAGTTTTTTCAGAAGGCGAAGACCTTTTAAGCCTCTTGTGTTTGTGATTTCTCGAGTCATCAGTTGAGTTCTTCAAAATTCTTGGAGAGCTATTTATGGCCCTATGCAACGTCCGGGCTAACTCTTCATCTGTTCTACAATTATTAGTCCTTTTATTCTTATTGTACAGCATCTGAACAGGAACATGCTTTTTCATCTTATTCCTCTTCAAATGTTTGTCCCTACTTGCTGTCTCATCAGAAAGAGTGGCAACCAATTCTAGAGCGCTCTTAGCAGCAGCCACGGCCTTTGCTGCTTTAGCAGCCTTCTCTTCCGCAATGGCTCTTGCTTCTTTCGCAGCCTTCGCAGCTTCTAAAGCTGCCAATCTTGAGGCCTCGGCAATCTCCTCATTCGATCGATTAGAGTCACCAAAATGAGATTTCAATAGATTATTAAGACGGATATCAAACTCGCACCCGGGACTACTAACAGTTGGTGGGGATGGGGTAGATGAGTAAGCATCAGAATTCTGTTTCTTCAATCCGGCTAGAAGCCGCTTTCGTGGAGGCAAAAGCACATCGGCATCCAAGTGATTGATATCACATACATTAACTTCCATCTTCTTTTTTACATCTACACACTTTCAATCTACAAAAAAACAACATTAAATTAGATCACAGCTTTAGCACAAAGCTCAAAACAGCTGAATCTGCATACCAGCTTGCTATTTCCAAAACCCACATTAGAATTTCACATGTTATTACCCTAGAGCTAGCTTCCACCTTCATTTTTACATCTACACACTTTCAAACAACAGAACAACATTAAAGATCACACCTTTAGCATAAAGCTCAAAACAAAACTAGCTCAATCAATATAGCAGCTTGTTTTTTACAGAACCCACGTTAGATTTCACATGTTATTTAACAAGACTCAATCATTTCATGGAATTCAATCCAAATCAAACAAAAGATCCAAAACTCAATCCAAACCCATAAGCAACAATCAGAAAAATAACCCAAGAGAAGAAAGAAAGACGGAAAATGAACCAAATTCAGGTCAATTCAAGATTTTCCAACCTTCCAAGATTAAAAACAGATAATTAGAGCATAATTCACCATAATCCAGGATTATTAGCAGCTGATTTAAGAGAATCATGCAAATCTAAATTGAACTTAGCTCCTTAGATGTTTTTTTTGGGTCATAATTCTGATATGCAAAGCAGATGAAGTGCCCAGTTTTTATTATAATAAGAATCAGAGATGGCTAAATACCTGATCTTGTCATTTTACAGGACATGAGAGAAGAAGTTGAAATTAGGGTTTTTAGGGAAAGAGAGATGAAGAAAGAGGGTCTGTTGAAAAACCAGTTGAAATGACAGAAAATTTGGAGATCATTTTATTATTTTATTTTTCAGGAAGAAATTCGATTGGCTCTGATTCTAGAGAGCTAAAATGTAAATCTTATAAATATGTTAAATTATTAAACATTTGCTTATAAACCTCTCCTTCCAGCTTAACCACAGATTTGCCATGGTAATTCTTATGCATTTACAAAGAGCATTTGGTTTGTAGATAAGCTATGTAAAAAGGATTAAACCTATATTCACTGACATGTAATTTTTTTTATATATTATTGTATCTATTATAGCAAATTAATTAATACTATTTGTATCTTGTTATTGACTAATGTTAATCACAATAATTTAATTGTAACTATCTTATATATAATTTGATTGTATATTTTTATCTCATAGATTTAAACTCATTTAAAATTTACTATGAAACATGAATTATAATACCGTAAATAATAATTATTATTAAGAATTATGGTTTATTTTGCTCCTGCTTCTCTCTAGGCGCTGGTTAGTCTAACATGTGCCCTGGAGGTCCATGGGAGGGGGACGAGGTCAGGGAAGGGGAAGACCTAAGAAAGAGATACAAATTGCTTTTGGCAGTGCAATGCATGTTCAATCCAGAGTAAATTCAACATCCAAACAAGCAGCTACCAAAATTCCAATGGAACAGTTACCCGCATCGGAACCTTCATCGAGCTCGATAGCTGAGAAGTGGCAGGTAGTGGAGCCGGTGGAAGAGGACAAAATACCACTACAAGTGAGATCTCATGCGGAGGGTGGAACGCAACTGAAGATAACTGAGGCTCCGGTGGCTAAATTACCTACTCCACAGGGTGATAAATGAGGAATGCCTATAAAGGCAAGGAGCAAGTGCCAAGTCCGTAATTGAACTTGATCAACTTTCCACAGTTGAGTGTTGTTATGACTAGCAAATCTAAGACTGGGAAAGTACTGCCTTTGCAAAAAGAGGACTAGAGAACCAGACAAGCAAAGCCTCCTGATTTGGGAGGTAATACAACTTCGCAATGGCTTGGCTTATATGGAACATTATAGGTGTAAATAAAGTGTATAAACAACGAGAGTTAAAGAAATATATAAGGTCAAAAAATATTAAATTAATGGGGCTGCTGGAAACCAAAGTTAAGCAACATAGATGTCCTAAAATAGCTAAGACTGTTGCTCCTAATTGGGGTATTATTAATAACTACTCCTCTGTTGTCAATGGAAGAATGTGGCTGATGTGGGATCAAGGAGACTACAATATAATTGAACTGAAAGTCGAAGCTCAATTACTACACTGTGAAGTTAGGGATTTCTCTTCTAACTTTCAATGTGTTCTGACTATTGTCTATGGATTCAATACTGTGGAGGAAAAGAGATCTCTATGGGACACTCTTCAAAATATCTCATGTAATATTAACTGCCCATGGCTAGTGTGGGGGGACTTTAATGCAATATTGTCGACTACTGATAGAATGAGCTGTCATCCTGTGAGTTTCAGTGAAGCGAAGGATTTTTCAGACTGTATTAATGCCACCCTACTAAATGAGTTACAATGTAAAGGTGAATATTTTACATGGTCAAAAAAGCAACAAGGATCAGAGAGAGTCAGTAGCAAAATTGATAGAGCATTTGGTAACTACGAATGGATGATGTTGTGGGGCCATATTGTCTTAGAATATGACATCCCTAACATTTTAGACCATGCCCCAATGCTATTGACATTGCAGAGTGTGAACCATTGTATTAGAACTCCATTTAGATTCTTCAACATATGGAGTGAGCATGCACAATTCTTGGAGCTAATGGATGTTCATTAGAATAAGAAGCTTGATAGAGATCCTATACAGAATGTATGGAACAAACTAAAGGCATTGAGGCCAATCTTCAGATAACTCAATAAAAAAAAGTTTAAAGCTACATCAATAAAGATTGAGAATGCAAGAGAAGAACTAAAATGTATTCAAGCTGCAATAGTAACCAGATATGATGACAGTCTTGTGATTAAAGAGAATAAAGCTTTGTTGAACCTTGAAAAATGGAACCTGCTTGAGGAGAGTATTCTAAGGCAAAAGTCTAGAGCCCTAAGGCAAAAGTCTAGAGCCCAATGGATATAGTTTGGGGATTCAAATTCTAAGTACTTTGCCGCAGTCATGAAGGAAAGAAGCCAAAGGAAGCAAATCATGGAACTTAATTCCCTATCAGGTGCTAAGCTACTGACTGATCCTAAAGAGCTCAGAGATGATATTGTATCATTTTACAAAGGATTAATGGGGACCTCTAGTCCCTCACTAAAGGCAATCGATAAAGTTACAATGAGCAAGTGACTCAAGCTAAGTCATAAACAGCAAATCCTTTTGTGTGCTCTAGTTACTAACCAAGAAATAGTTGTTGGATTGAGTTCAATTGGAAATGATAAATCTCTAGGGGTGGATGGGTATAATGCATATTTCTTTAAAAAGGCATGGAGTATAGTGGGGCTAGAGATTACAAGGACAATAAGAAGATTCTTTGAGTGTGGCAAGATGAATAGAGCTATTAACTGTACTTCTCTCACCTTGATCCCTAAAAATGATCATCATGTGATAGTGAAAGAGTACAGACCAACTGCTTGTTGTGCTGTTGTATACAGAATCATTTCCAAAGTTCTTGCCTCAAGACTCCAGAAAGTTATTGCATCAGTAGTATGTGAAGTACATGCAGGAAGATATCAGATAACATCTTTCTTGCTCAAGAACTGGTGAAATCCTATACAAGGAAGAAGATCTCCCCTAGATGCATGATAAAAATAGACCTTCAAAAGGCCTATGACGCAGTGGAATGGATATTTCTGGAGCAAGTCCTAGATGAGATTGGCTTTCCTAGACAATTCACCATGTGGACCTTAGAATGTGTGAAGACAGTTAACTATTCTATATTGGTAAATGGAGAATCCACAGCTCAATTTGATGCAGCTAAAGGGCTAAGACATGGTGACCCAATTTCACCATTTCTATTTGCCTTAGCCATGGAATACTTAAGTAGAAAGCTGAATGAGTTAAAAGGAAATAAAGAGTTCAAGTATCAGCCAAAGTGCTCTAAACTAGCAATGCTCATTTATCATGTGCATCTTATTTACTGCTATTTTCTAGAGGAGATGTTGAGTCTGTTTCCATATTGAATAGGTATTTTTTGGACTTTTCTGCTGCTTCAGGACTTCAAGCTAACAAAGAGAAGAGCTCCATTTATTTTGGAGGAGTCACTCGGATCATTCAAGATCAAATCCTACATCTGTTAAGATTTCCAAAAGGAGAGCTCCCCTTCAAATATTTGGGAATTCCCTTGTCCACTAAAAAGATCTCTTTACTTCAGTGGCAACCATTGATCAACAAAATGGTAGCCAGAATCTCATCTTGGACTGCAAAGAACTCTCATATGCAGGGAGATCTCAGTTAATCCAAACAGTCCTATTTGGTATTCAAGCATATTGGTCTCAACTGTTTGTTATTCCTTCAAAAATACTAAGTACAATTGAGGCCTATTGTCGAGGCTACTTATGGTCTGGTACAAACACAATCACTAGGAAAGCTCTAATTGCTTGGGATAAGGTTTGCACTCCAAAATCAATGGGTGGCCTAGGCTTGCTAAATATAAGACAATGGAATAAAGTTGCAATAGCTAAGGCAAGTTGGGATATTGAGCATAAGGCAGATAGACTGTGGATCAGGGGGTTACATGCGTACTACATCAAGAATCAACAATTCAGTCAAGTACCTATCCCTCAACAAGCAGGATGGATGGTAAGGAAAATATTTAAAGGAAGAGAGACAATGACACTGATTCAAGATATCAAAACAGGCAGCTTAATCAAGCAAATTTACCTTAAGCTTATTGGTGATAATGAGAGAATAACTTGGAAGACATTGAGATTTGGAAATGATGCTAGACCAAAAGCTCAATTCACAGTGTGGCTGCAGATGTATGGGAAACTAATGATTGTTGATAGACTTGCCTCATGGGGGGATAAATGTTGATCATATATGCAATCTATGTAACAGTCACAATGAACCAAGAAATCATGTATTCATGGAGTATATTTTCTCTAACAAAATCTGGGAAGGAGTGTTGAAATGGATGCAGGTCTCTATTCAGGACATCACAATGAGAATTAATGGTGAAATGGATCAGTAAAGCATCAAAGGGTAAATCACAGAGAGCTTAGATCTTTAAGATGGCTTATACTGAATGGGTGCATACAATGTGGATTGAGAGAAATCAGAGAAAATTTGAAAAAAGAGCAAAGAGTCATAGTCAATTAGTGAGGGAGATTGCATATGTTTGTTATATTCGGGCATCTACTAGAATTAAAAAACTAATTCAGCAGCTTAGTATTTAATTTAGCTCTAGTAGTTGAATAGTTCTTTGTGTTTTTAGACTAGATAGCAGAGTGTGATGTAGTCTAGCTATGGTTCCTTATTGTAAACATTCTGGTAATTAATAAAATTTTCAGTTACCTAAAAAAAAATTATCTCATTGTTTAATATATGATATTGCATTTCTTATTAGATTTTTGATTCATATGTATTTGAAATTTAGATACACAATATATAATAAAATATTTGTTTAATTTTTATCTGGATAAATAAATATTGCAAATGTCCACTGTCACTATCCGGAATTCTCACCCTCGGGAGTCGTGATGGCACCTACTAATGTGAGCTAGGCAAGCCAACCCTTAACTATCTACTACTTTTTTTCATATTACTTCTTTTAAAACAAACACAGGGCGACAATATAAATAAAGCGGAAGTTAGGAAATAGGCGGAAGTCAACATTTGTAAAGCGTAGAGCTACGTCTATTACCACTTTTAAGCTA